GTGCCGAGTTCCTTTTTTGTACTATATATATATAGTACAACAAAGATTGTCTTTTATCTAATTTTTTTAAAAATATTTTTTATTATGATATATAGTTTGTTATGATCTGTCCAGTATGCTGGTGCTATCCATGCTTTTGTATATATTATATCTTTCATCCATATATGATCTATTAGTTTCTTCTAATGTTTATGTATTTTATCCTTCTTTCTCCATTATTGTTTGAAGTGGTTTTGCTTCTTCTTTCTGATAGTCAATATTGAAATCTCCTGTTTTTGGTTTCTTATTATCTATTTTTTGTATATAATTTTTATAAACATTTGTATATTTATTCCAGGTTTTCTATGTAAATTTATTATCTGTAATTGCTTTTTATTTTTTCTAGTGATACAAATGACATTGCCATTGTTTTTGTTTTTAAATGTTCTACTTTTTCTGATTTATAGTCATTTGTATGCAATATTGGGTTGTTCATATATATATATATATATATATATATATAAAATTTATTAAAATATAAATCCTCATGTTTTTGTGTTCTTACTTCTTTCATACATATTATATTATATCTGATGTTAATAAATTATGAATCACTCTTTATCTTCTTGATGTACAGTAATAGAAGTTTAAATATCTTGCACTGCCCTAGAATGTGCACAGAACAAACTTGTCACTCGAGCCATATGGTGTGAAATATCTGTCACCTAGTCTCTAGCTCACCAATCCAAGCCACACTCAAAATGCTAGTAAGTAAACAACAAAACACTCTTATACTCTAGAAATGCTATTAAACACAGAATCCCCAAAACACTGCTTCCCAATCTTATCCTTTAGCATGCGTTGTAATTGTGGTCTAATCCATGTCATGCCCTAACCACCTCATATGAGATCATTCACGAGCTTGTGGAGTACACACTCTTGTAGAAATCAGTTGAAAGTGTAATTGGTACTCGATGATCACCAAGCTAGAATGATTGATCCCGCAAAATCAAAACAAATAAGGTTTATAAACCCCACATTTTAGGGTTTTGCGGCAGGGATGGGCATTCCCATCCCCTTCTTCCGGCGTGGCGCTGGATCCGACGCCTCTCCGCCGCAGAGCAGGAGGAAGAAGAAGCCGCCGGCGACGCTGCGCGAGCTCGCCAACGAGACGATCGAGGAATGGAAGGCGCGGCACCCGATCCATCCCGACGACATGAAGCGCCGGATGGAGCGCTACCGCTGGGAGGTGAGGAACAGGCCGGATTACACCAAATCTCCTGAGGTGGAAGAGGAGATGGCGCGCGTCAAGGATCCCTTCGCCCACGCCCTCAAGAAGATGAATCCCGAGGAGCGCGAGGAGGCGCTCAAGATGAAGGAGATTTGGGAGAATAGCTTCGAGTATAAGTTTGAGCAGCGGTGCTTGCAGCTGGAGAAGGAATGGACAGAGCTGGAGATGGAGAGGAACTCGACTCCGGCGAGAAAGGAGGATACCAAGATGTGGAGATCTTTGCCGCCAGTTCCTGGGCCGAGGGGGATCCCGCTGGTGAGGAAGGCGCTCAGCGGGGAGAATGAGGCTGCCGGAAGGATCATGGATTTTCTCAAGGAGCACTTGTTTGGGTTGTGGGGGTATCGCCAGCGGCCTTATCCTCCCGATCGTCCCATCGATGCGCAACAGGCCTTTGGATTCAAGTGGCTCCACAAGCGCTACGCGGACTGTAAGTTCTCGCTCTTCTTTCTCTGCGCTTGCTAGTTTTTCTTTTTCCTCTTGCTTGCTCTTGTTTTGAGTTCTTTGACCTTGCAAACGTTGAAAGGATCTTTAGTTACTGGATTCGTGATGTATGTCTGGGAGTCGTGTGTGAGTATTTTTCTGGGAGTCGTGCAAGTGATCTCTCAGTTTCTTTGTTAGATCGTCTCAGCGTTTTGCTTTCTGGAGTTTTTATCATGCGCTTTTCTTCCTTCTATTCTTACATTTTTTTTCCAGTCACAATGAGATACTTCGTGTTATTTGTATGAGAGTCGTGTGTAAGTGATCTCTAAGTTTCTTTGTTCGAGCATCTCAGCGTTTTGCTTATTGTGTTGCGAGTTTTTACCATGAATGATGTCCGCTCTTTTTACTCTAACATTTTCTTTTTGGTTTTCCAGTCACAATGAGGTCGGGAGGATGGTACTATAAGGATCGCCTTGGCAGGACAAGAGGTCCGATGGAGCTTGTCAACATGCAAACTGCATGGGCTGGTGGCCTGATCGACAAGAACACATTTATCTGGGGAGAGGATATGGACGAATGGGCTCCAATTGGGATGGTTTATGGTCTCGAACGATGCATCAATCGCTGGGACAGTAAGTTATATCCTCCTTTTTCGTAGCTTTACATTCATCTTTTATTGGATGCAGTCAAGATGGTTACTCTAGGATTGGCCCTGGTTTACAAGCTGTCTAGAGGCATTCCACTGACTACTCCGAGGAAAGGACACGAGCCGAAGACTCTCCAGCAGCTCCAGAACGAGGCTCTCGAGGACCGTGAGCGGCAGAGGGCAGTGCTGAGGCTAAATGGAGGTGTTTGGCCTGGAGAGCGTGAGCCTACACACACTGTCTTCCTCTGGGCCGGTGGCTCTCAGCTCTCAGACCACTTAAACAGGTTTTCGGAAACAATGCCGGACAAATTCATTTCCTACCACATGAGGTGAGCTTTTATTTGATTCGCGCCAAGTACAGTTGAAACGTTTTCTGTTGTCTTGCCACAGGAAGAAACTTATGAAGCTGTGTCCCGCTCTGCGGCCAAAGGATTTCATCAATATTGAGAAAGTTATGGACGCCTTGACTTACCAGGCTGATTGGTACCGAGAACCTCTAGGAACTTTTAACTCGCGACCAGATTTTGAAAAGGAGTGGTTCAAGGCAGTCAAGGTGAGATTTTTCTTCGGCTGTTGATTCTCTCATCGGTTCTTCTTTGTACTCCAGAATGAGTATCTCCGGACGATCGATGATGTGGAGTACTTCTTTAGCTCCATTGACAAGGCGCCAAATGTGAGGTTTCCAAGGAAACCTGGCGAAAAGCTCATTGTGGAGCCGAAGAAGAACGAGGGCGATGCTCAAGGTAATCTGGATTAAAAACTTTCCACCTTTTGCCTTCTCGGGAACTCACATAACGCCTTTCTTGGACAGACTGATTGATCCATACACAGTGCTGCGAAGGGGGAAGAACAATCCATATCTCCGTCTGGTGTTTTAATGGCGGGAGCTCTTCGACGAAAAACGGCTTGTGCAAGATCTGGCAGCCCTTTAAATTCTGGATGCGATCGTTACTGGCTGGCTGCATTCCAGATAAGTGGATATCTTTTTTATAATCCTCGTATCAATCTGTCTGTTCTTGAGGCAGGCATTCTCCCTTGAAATCCACGAGAGAAAAGAGTGACCTCCCACGATCTTGCAAGAATCAACGGCCTGTGGCCCGCCACGTCCGGTGCCACCGCATCGGGACCGTTGGTTTGCTATTTGCTATAGCGGTGGGCACTTGGAAAGGAGGGTCCTTTAGAGAGAGAGAGAGAGAGAGAGAGAGAGGGTCTCGTCAAGCTTGTGTGAGTTGGGTTATGGTGTCATGGCGCCTTCGTCGGGATTTTGGTGCTTGGTCTGGCCAGTGATCGTCTTCTTGGGCAGGCCATAGCGCTTGGGCTTTGCTGTGTGTGTGAGTGAGAGAGGGAGTGGTTTTGAGTGGATTGCTCTAGGGCTTTGAAGGTACTGAATTCGCAGGATAGCCGCATTCCCGAGGGAGCTCGTTTGCCGGAAAGATCCAACACTCAATGGCCGGAGTTGGCTAGTTCACAATGCTGCTGCCATCGAGCTGAGGTAGCTTCTCTGGTTTTTTTTTTCTTCTTCTAGAAAACAATTTTCCCCTTTCTTTTGGGCTTTCTTGCAGGCTAGTTTCCTCTAAAGCCTCTGGTTTTAGCGACAATTGAGCATGGAGGGGACGAAAAAAGAAGCAAAGCCATCCAAGGACCTTGAAGGAGGTAGAAAAATTGCGCTTTTTCGAGAGGAAAAATTTCGATTTTTTGGTTGGTGCGTGTCGTTGTTTTTCCAGGCGATCACACTTCGACTGAGCCCGATAGCCCGAGTGATGGCGAAGGGGAGAGCTCGGCACATCCAAAGGATTTTCCGGTAAAACTTTCGCTTTGAATTAAATAGCTCGCCCACAGCGACACGCTGACGTTGTTTCTTCTTTAACGCAGCAGTCATCTGATGAGGCTAGCAAATGCGCCGTGGACAAAGCAAACTCTCAAAGTGGAGACGTTGACACAACATCGCCGTCTCCCGGGAAACGCCCTGTAGAGGTTTGTATACTTGTATTCCTCTGCGTTGCGGGGAACTTTCATATTATTCTTTGCAAGTTTGATACGTTTTTGCCTTCGTCCTTTTGCTCCCAGGGCTATGCTTTCGACAAAGCGCCTCCCCCGATAAAAACACGCCGAGAGGGAGCAGCATCGTCGCATGCGTCTTCTCCTCCAGAGCTTTCGCCACCGCCATCGCCCAAGAGAATGCGGGAGCTTGAGCGGAAAGAAGGAGTGTTTCGTGCAATCGTCCCTCCCAAGCAAGGACTCCAACAAAACCTCTGAAGTCACAGTACAGCAAAGAGGGAAACGCAATGGTAAATTTTTCCCTTTCCTGTAGTTTCATGCTATGGCTTCTTTCCTTCTTGGAGAGACACTTCACTCTCGTTGCCATTGTTGCATTCGCTACGTACATAACATAGTTTCGTTTTCCCGTAACTCTATTCCTTCTTCGAGGCAAAGCAACTACAGGGAACGAGGAACCAATCGCTTGGTAAGCTGTTGAGATAGTTTTGACAGTGCTCACTAATCCCTTTCCATTGTTTTTATCAGGGAAGGGGACAGTGATTCTACTCTTTCAAAGCTTTGCAAGGAAATGAAACAGTGATAAGTTTTATAAGTTTTTCCTCCCAGCAAAGAACTCGAGTAAGTACCGCCTCGCGTATTTGTTGTGAGTTGCGTTGTGTTTCTTTGCTCCTAATTTTTACAGTCGAGAGAGCTTCGTTCTCCTCTGAGTGTTCAGTGATGGTGGTGGTGGTGATGGTGGTGGGCTTCTTTTGCGGACAGGAACTTATTCACAGCGAGCAACAGACCCTCTCCGGATCCACTGGATTGGTGCTCATCGTCCTGGATTGGAGAAAGTAAAGTGTATGGAGTTTTTCTCTCGATCTTCTCAAACCTGGAGGCTTTGCCGTCGCGAGTTTCGACTGCTGTTCCTTCGACTCCTCGTCTCGATTGATACTCCGGAGCATCTCGTGTGTGCCTCCGAATCGCTTGACCTCGCTTGCTGCTCCTGGAAAGTCTATCCATCAAAATCCAGGATGTAGTGGAAACAATTGGAAGAAGCGCCTCACCTTGCTCGCCTTGCTCGATCTAAACACGCGAAAGAGAGTTTCCGTCTGACCAACAAAGCTAGGATAGAAAACCAAGGAAAGAAGAAGAGCAAAAGCTTTTGGATCGAACCAGAGCTTCTTTGGGGGTTTTTCTTTGATATCGTTTTCCTTTTTACCTTGTCTATGGCCGCAGCCAAAGCTTTCTCGAGCTCCACGAGTTGAGGTGACGGTGCCGGCTGTGGATTGCTCGCATTCTCTGCAAAATCAAAACAAATAACCGCTGGTAACCTCCCCTTCTTGCTTTGATTTCTTCTAACCGAGTGTCCAGCACGAGCCATTCCAGTCCATCCAAGAGCCCTAATTTCCACAACCAAACCCCAAATTTCACAGCACTGTGAAATGCCACACGTGGCAGCACCACATTCGTGGCCACAGTAACTGCCAGCTCCTTACGAAACTCTCCAAACCGTGGTTAGTTTCATAATGGTGCGAGAATATACCCGGCCTTTTCACCCTTAGGCTTGCCCTAAAATATTAGTAATTTCCGACCGTTAAGAGGGCTACATTGGGATTCTTACAATGTAGCTGACAGCGTTGCAGTGGCCGCGAGGTAAATACACGCAGCAATGGACAATGACCGTGGTATATTCTACTTATTCTCTCTCGCGAGAAAATGCCACGAGCGCCTATGTCGAGAGGAGTGATCATCATCGCAATCGTCTTGTTCGTCATCCAAGGTAGAGCTTCCTTTTTTATCTTTCGATCGGTCGATGGATGGTGTTCTCTCAGTTGGGCGATCGGTAGACGCAACGTCAGTGGTGGGAGTGAACTATGGGACGCTTGGAAACAATCTCCCATCGCCGGATCAGGTCGCCCATCTCGTCAATTCCTCCACCTCCATCACCAGGATCAAGCTCTACGACGCCGACGCCAGCGTCCTCCACGCCTTCGCGGGCTCCGGCGTCTCGATCGTGGTGGGCATCCCCAACGAGCAGCTGGAATCGCTGGGCAGCAATCCCACCGCCGCGGCCATCTGGGTGAAGCAGCACATCGTCGCCTTCCTCCCCCACACGAACATCATCGCCATCGCCGCGGGCAACGAAGCTCTCACCATCGCCAATGGATCCTTCTCCTCCTTTCTCATGCCGTGCATCAACAATGTCTACGCTGCGCTCGCGTCGCTCGGCCTCCACGATCGCATCAAAATCAGCACTCCCCACTCCTTCGCCGTCCTCGCCATGTCATACCCCCCATCCTCGGGGACTTTCCGCCCGAGTTTCCTCCAAGTCATAATCCCCCTCCTCCAATTCCTTTCCAAGACCGGCTCGCCGCTCATGATCAACGCCTACCCCTACTTCGCATATCATAACGATCCCGCCCATGTGTCACTGAATTACGCCCTCTTGCGCCCCGGCAATGTCATAGTGGACCCCCGGACGAAGCTGCGCTACACCAACCTTCTGGACGCCCAGCTGGACGCCACGTACGCGGCAATGCAGGCGCTGGGCGTCCATGACGTGGCGGTGACCATCTCCGAGACCGGGTGGCCGTCCCGGGGTGCCAGTGACGAGCCGGCGGCGAACCTCACAAACGCCCGGGCTTACGTCAGCAACCTTGTGGACTACGTGGCGTCCGGCGTGGGCACCCCGGCCCGCCCAAACGCCAGCGTGGACGTGTTTATCTTCGCGCTCTTCAACGAGAACGAGAAGCCGGGGTCGGTGTCCGAGCAGTACTATGGGCTCTTCACCTCGGACGGTACAGCGGTGTACGATATTGGGCTGTTAAAGAGTCCGAGCTCTCCGGGCCCGAGCTCCAGTCCGAGCTCTCCGAGTCCGAGCTCCAGTCCGAGCTCTCCTCCTCCACCTCCTCGGTCGACGAACAGGCACATTTGGTGCATTGCAAAGCCCAATGCCGACGATTCGGTGCTTCTCAAGGGATTGAATTTCGCGTGTGGAGAAGGGTCCGCGGATTGCCAGGCGATCCAAAGAGGGGGCGGATGCTACACGCCGGAGACGCTCAACTCGCACGCCTCGTACGCGTTCAATGCGTACTACCAGAAGCACGGCAGGAACTTTTGGAATTGCTACTTCGCTGGAGTTGGAATGCTGTCCATCACAGACCCAAGTAAGTTTCTCATCGATGTTCTTCAAGTGGATCTTTTGATTCGGGTGGAATCTCGCAGGTTATGGAGCCTGCAAGTACCAGGCTACGTGATGATATAGGGTTGAGCTCTCGTACGTTTGTCGGTTTGTGAGAGGAGGTTCGAACCTGTGACTACTTTTGCCCCTGTCTCGCATGTCAGCTGCCAGCGTGTGTCAGGAGAAGGATGATATGACATGCTCGCGTCGATTTTTACCGAGGGTCTTTGTCATGGTTTTTACTATCCACAAAGAGTACATTTTTCTAAGAGCCGTTGTGTAAGGTCCCACATTGTGGCACTGTTCTATAGGGCCCTCTATACTATGACAGTAAAAAATATTACTATCCTTTTGTTCTTATCAAACGACTAGATGAGGGAAGGGGCGTGGCAATGGGTGCGCGCTTGTCATGTAATTTCATGAGTATCGTGTAATTGCCCGATTTGTTACCGCCCCTTCCGTACTCCATTGTTTAATGCCGTACGCGCAGCTTTCCTGGCCAATCCAAACGCAAATCCGACTCTTCAAGCTTTTCCAAATCTATCAAAAGACCAAAAGGAAAGAGAAAGAGGGATCTTCGCTTTCTTGTGAAACAAAATTTTACCAACACACGATACTCAAAAGTTACTTTGATTCCAAATGATGGATTTCCCCGCGCTTCCGTACACCGGGGGGGCTAGATTCTACCCTTCGTACCAGCAGTGTGGAGAAATCTCCTTGTCGCCGCGCGCTTAGCCTTTGTGTTTTGGGGTAAGATTCTCTTTTACCCAAGCATACGACCGACCGTATGTGTATCGTAAAAGCGTACGCTTCCACATACACCTGCATTTAATGGCAGAGGAGCGTACATAAGAAAGAGAGAGAAGGGGAGCTCTTCTTTCGGACAGTGTGATCCTAGCCCTTCTTCTCTCTGTTCGAAAGGAAGAAGAGAAGAGGGCAGAGCTCTCCTTCTTTTCTCTCGTCTAGGATAGAATAGAGAGCTCTTCTTCCAATCGAGCTCGGGCTATGGCGCCAGGGGCTCGCGAAAAGAGGAGGCCGCCGGCTCTTCTCCTCGCCACACTGCTGCTACTCACGTCCTTCTCTACGATCTCTTCGAGTAAGTCCCACTCTTGGAATCTCTCCTGCTGCATTGCAATAGAATGGCATTTCTTGGATTCACAGCTTGAGCTTGAGCTTCATGATCGATCGCTTCTCTTGCAGCGTTTCCTCCCAGCGCTCCCTCCGCGAATCCCTGCTGCACCTACAGCAACATCGGCATCAACTACGGCCAGCTCGGGAACAACCTCCCGACGCCGCAGAGGGTCCGCGAGCTCGTCCAGTCCACCACCATCACCAAGGTGAAGATCTACGACACCAATGCCGCCATCATCGAGGCCTTCGCCAACACCGGCATCGAGTTCACGGTGATGGTGAAGAACGAGCAGATTCACTCGCTACTCGACACCCACGCCGCCCAGAAATGGGTCAACGAGAACGTCGCGTGCTACCTCCCGGCCACGCAGATCCGGACCATCCTGGTCGGCAACGAGATTCTGGGGAACGACGACCAGATCAACGGCTGGATCGTGCCCGTGATGCAGAACATCCACTCGGCGCTGGTCACGCTCCGGATCGACAACCAGGTAAAGGTCTCCACCCCGCATTCCCTGTCCGTACTCTCCTCCAGCTATCCGCCCTCCTCGGGCGCATTCCGTACGGACCTGGTCTCTCACGTCATCAAGCCCATGCTCCAGTTCCTCAGTCAAACCGGGTCGCCGTTCATGGTCAACACGTACCCCTACTTTGCGTACAAGAGCTCGCCGCTAAACATCACGCTCGCCTACGCGCTCTTCCTCCCAAACGCCGGCGTGGTGGATCCAAAGACCAAGCTGCGCTACTACAACCTCATGGACGCCCAGGTGGACGCGGTGTACTCGGCCATGGCGAAATTAGGGTTCCAGGACATCGGGATCGTGGTGTCGGAGACCGGGTGGCCGTCGGCGGGCGACCCGACCGAGTTTGGCGTGAGCGTCAACAATGCCATGGTCTACAACCGCAACCTCATCGCCCACGTCACGTCCATGGGCACGCCCATGCGACACGGCAAGCTCATGGACACGTACATCTTTGCGCTCTTCAACGAGAACCAGAAGCCCGGCCCGACCACCGAGCGCAACTTCGGCCTCTTCAAGCCCGACATGTCGGTGGTGTATGATATCGGGCTGTTCAAGGGGGGACAGCGCTACGCCAACGTGTTCCCGCCGCCGCCACCTCAGCCGCCAGCTCATCCCTACCCCTCGCCAGACGAGCCCCCGCCAGCGCCCTACTACCACAGCCCGCCACTGTACCAGGTACCGCCCGCAACGCCGGCTTACCAGCCTCCCCCAACGCCGGTCTACCAGCCTCCCCCAACGCCGGCCTACCAGCCGCCACCGAGCTACCAGCCTCCTAGCGGCGGTGGCGGCGGTGGTGGCGGTGGTGGTACCGGGCCGCGAATCTGGTGTATATCCAAGCCCGGGTCGCCCGTGGGATCGCTGGAGGCGGCGCTGAATTTCGCGTGCGGCGAGGGCGGCGCGGATTGCGGCTCGATTCAAGGGAGCGGCGCTTGCTTCCAGCCGGACACGCTCGAGTCGCACTCGTCGTTTGCGTTCAACAGCTACTTCCACAAGCACGGGCGGAACTTCTGGAACTGCTACTTTAACAACAATGCGCTCCTCACGGTGTCGGATCCAAGTAAGTTTTGGGGTTTCTCGCTCGATCGATCGATCGATCGATGGAGTTTGATGTGTTTTTTCCTTGGTTTTTTTTTTTTCTTTTTCCAGGTTATGGGACATGCGTCTATCCATCGCAGTGATCGAGCCGATCGATGGATCCACATTTTGAGAGATTTGCCTCGATCTAGCTAGCTAGCGAATTAGATGATTGACAGCGCTCGACTCTCTGGAGCGAGACAATTTGTTTCATTCTTCTCTAGCCTAGCTATTTAAAATCAAAGTGTAGGTTTGCTTATTTTTGTTGTTAGGGCGGGTTAGGTGAGAAGAAGGCGCCCATTCTCCCAGGTAAGAATCGCGGTCGTCTTGCACGCTCATCTCCTTTGCGTGTCGATTCGCTGAGCTGATCTCGATCCGTCGCTCCATTGCCGAAATCTCTTCCAAAATCTCTTCTGGAATTGCTAGATCTTCGTGCCGATGCTGCATTCCTGCGCTTGTGTCGTGAAAATCTCGCGAAATTTCGGTCTGGAATGCTGATGGATTGATTGGTCGATTTGTTGATGCATCAGCAGCACTAGCGCTATGGCCAGGAAGAAGATCCGTGAGTACGACTCCAAGCGCTTGCTCAAGCAGCACCTCAAGCGACTGGCGAGCATCGATTTGGCGCTCCATTCCGCGCAGGTAGAATTTATTTCTTATCTGTAGTGTCGTGTTTTTCAAATTGCTTCGTTCTCTATTGTTCTTTTTTATTTTTTCTTTGCTCTTGATAGGTGACTCAAGAGACCGATTTTGACGCCTTGGCTGACAAGGAACCATGGCTCAATTCGACCAGGCTCGTCGTGAAACCAGACATGCTGTTTGGCAAGCGTGGAAAGAGTGGACTGGTGAGTTTGTCAATTTATCCTTCTTGGTCATATAGAGAAGTTGACACAAGAGTTTGTGGTTTAGGTGGCTTTAAACTTGGACTTGGCCGGAGTCGAGGCTTTTGTCAAGGAAAGGCTGGGCAGGGAGGTTGAGATGGACGGAACCAAAGCGCCCATCACAACTTTCATTGTGGAACCGTTTATTCCACACGACAGTGAGTTCTACCTTTCGCTGGTGTCACATCGTCTTGGTGTGGAGATTAGTTTTTCTGAGTGTGGAGGCATCGAGATCGAGGAAAACTGGGAAAAGGTAGCTTGTTTAATACTTTCAATTGCGGTGTGTTTGTTGCTAGTTGCCTAATTGATGTTTTCTTCTTCTTTCCCAGGTCAAGACGGTTTTCGTGCCTACAGAACAGCCTTTGACTGCGGAAACTTGTGCACCGCTCATTGCCACGCTTCCATTAGAGGTCAAAGTTTCCAAGTTTAAAGTCTTGCAATTATATTTCTGAGGAAACAGGTGCTTGATGCAGATTCGTGGCAAGATTGAGACGTTCATAAGGGGAGTTTTTAGCGTCTTTGAAGGTGCACTGCCTTACGAAACAGCCTGCATTCTTATTTACAAGGCGAATTTTTCTTTTTCAGACTTGGACTTCTCTCTGATCGAGATGAATCCCTTCACTTTGGTGAATGGCGAACCGTATCCTCTGGACATGCGTGGAGAGTTGGATGACACAGCTCTCTTCAAAAACTTCCAGAAGTATACTGCCACATCTTTTGCTATATGCTGACACTTGTGATGTCATGCAGGTGGGGCAATGTGGAATTTCCAGTTCCATTTGGCAGAGTGATGACACCTGCTGAGGAGTCAATCCACAAGATGGATGAAAAGGTCAGACTTCTTCCTCTCTTTCCTCAGTCTTCTGATGACTCGAATTTGTTTTGTTCAGACTGGTGCGTCTTTAAAGCTGACAATACTAAATCCGAAAGGTCGCATTTGGACAATGGTCGCTGGCGGTGGCGCGAGTGTGATCTATGCCGACACAGTAATGTTTCCTTCTTTTTTCCTTTTTTTGTCTAAAGCTATTGTCGTTAATCGAAGGTTGGTGACCTCGGTTATGCTCACGAGCTGGGAAACTACGCCGAGTACAGTGGAGCGCCAAGCGAGGAGGAGACTCTACACTATGCTCGTGCTTTAATTGACGTAAGAACTTTCACTTTCATAGTGATTCCCAGTCAACGTTGTTCCATTGCAGTGCGTCACTGCGAACCCAGACGGACGTCGCAGAGCTTTGCTCATCGGTGGCGGCATAGCCAACTTCACCGATGTCGCTGCAACGTTTAATGGTATCATCCGCGCGCTCCGCGAGAAGGTAAACTTTTCACGAAGAGATCCTCGCTTTACTACTTTTGGTGTTCTTATTCTCGCTCTTCATCCCCGCAGGAATCCCAGCTGAAAGTGGCAAAGGTGCACATATTCGTGAGGCGAGGGGGCCCAAACTACCAGAAAGGCCTGGAAAGGATGAGAACACTTGGCAGGGATATTGGCATCCCGATCGAAGTACGTCTAGAGGAAAAAATCCTCCTTTTGATCCTTGACAAAGCGTTGTTTACTGACTTTCACGAGGATTGTCTCGCAGGTTTTTGGACCCGAGGCAAGCATGACTGGCATTTGTAGAAACGCGATCGATTACATCCGAGTTGCTGCGTGATTTGGATTGATCCACTGGAAGAAGGATTCTCGCTCGAGCCTGGAGATTTACAATAAAAGAAGAAAACGGGAAAAGGAAGCGTCAAATCGATGCAAATTTCTCAACCAATTCGAGAGACGTGGACGTATTATACGGTGGATTCTACTTACATACCATTTGCTCTTTCACCTTTCACTGTTTGAAATAAAGTTAAACCCCTTTTAACCTTTTTTGCCTCCACTGTTCCTCCTTTGCACGCAGAGGAGCGAGAGCGGCGCGTGCGCGTCTTCTTGACGCTAGCTCCGCGAGAAAAGATTGATCGATCGATCGCGGCGGCGCTCTAGGCGACGACCTTTCGCGCTCCTGGGAGCTTAATCCGCGGCGACGGCGATCTCCGGTACATTTTGTGGCTCTCGCTCGTAGGATCAAGCGATTGGATGGAGTCCGGCATCGATGCGCCGTGGGGAATTGTGAAATTTCGCGGCCGGGGGAGTTCTTGGGGCCGGGATCGAGGGAATTCTAGCTAGGTTCCTCGGCAGGGGGATTTCGGCATGGATTTTGGGGGCTGGAGGTAGGTCAAGGCATTGGATCGTGGGCATGACAATGAAATTGGGCATGGAGCGCAAGGTCTGCCCCGAGGAAGACGGCGTAGCGACACAGGATGAAGATTCCAGCACAGTGGTGATTAAAGAGACTACTTTTGACGACAAGAGATTGCAAGCTGTGGAAACTGTGGAGAAGGCCGAAACTCGGGTAGCTGTAGAGAGCTTCGACTCGGCTACTACAACCGCGAGTGGCCCATCGACCTCTGGCGATCATCCATCGGGTGGCGATAGTAATGCCGAGATTGGGAGCGTGGAAGTGGTCGTTATTCCTGTTCATGGCGGTGAGGATGTTGGTGGTGGCACCACCGCCGCAGATCGGAGTGGAGTACCCAGCAAGCCTGGCGAAGAACAAGGAATCTTCAGATGTCCCAGCTCTTTTAGCACGGATAGTTTCGCTGATTGCTGCAGGTACGTCGCTTCGCTTTTCTTTCTTTCGTTTGTTTCTACGTTCTTCGTCCAGTTCTTTTGTTTCTGACGCAAAGACTTTATCTATGCCAGGATCTGTCAGCAGCATGCCGAGGAGCCTTTGATTGAGCTCGGGTGCCACTGCCGCGGTGAGCTCTCGCGAGCGCATCGCAGTTGCATTGAGCAGTGGTTTGGCAACAAAGGCACCAATAAATGCGAGATTTGCCAGTAGGTGCTCTTGTTCTTTCAGTGTCGCGAGAGTAGACTTTCATCTCGATTGTTTGGAGTAATTCTCACTCACTGCTCTCAGGCACGTCGCTGAAAATGTCCCTGCTCCTCCTGTACAAGTCGCGGTATGTCGAAGTGCTATTTAATTCCTTGTCCTACCACCATCTCACGGTCAACTTTGTGTTATCCAGCCACATTTTTGGGTGTGGAGGCTTGGCATCAACCGAGGAAGCCGGAATTACACGCAAAGAAGAAGTGGTGGGGTAAGCGATCATTGTTTTAAAGCTCAAAATGACCGATCTGCCGGCTTTGCAGGCTCGCTTCCATCCTCTTTGGGCTGCATTGCTCATCTTGATAGCGGGGCTACTCTTTGACGTACTCATTTCGATTTTTCTTGGAGCTTCCGCTCTTCCTGTGAACATCATAATCGGTAACAGCTTCTGCTTATCTATCCTGTTGTTACAACGTTAATACTGTTATCCTTGCGCAGGAGTTTTAGTGGTTTTAGGAATTGGAACAGCAGCTCGCCTTGTGGTCGAGTGCTGGCACGAACGCGGGCTAAGAAGGAACATACGGAGAATCGAAACAAGTCTTGCAAACTTGCAAGGGGATGGCGCGCTACAGGTTTGTGCGAAAATCTTTTTGCTTGTTTCGAAAACGCGCGCTTGCATTCCCAGGCTCAATCCAACCTTGTCGCGCAATCGGCAGTCCGGCCCCTCTCTTGAGGGCTAACACGATTTACAGCGGAAAATTACAACACACATAGAAACACACTCCCAACACGGCGACACGAGACAGACGACAAGGAGCAAAACTTTAAACATTGGGTGGCATACAACAAGTGCGACTTCGCTTTCATTGCCAGAGAGGAGGATCAGTAAAGAATGGAAGCGAAGGAACTCTCTCAACACCAACTGCGAAATTGAAAGGTTAGCAGCAGCAAACAACAAACAAGACGAATGGCCCGAGATAGCACTGATCAAGCAATGCATATAAAGAAGAAGAACAAACAACAAATCTACATGATAGAGGAACTCAAATCTACATGCACAAAACGAGAGCCAACCGGGACTTACACTCAAGGAATGAGCTGGAGAAGAAAGAGGCCCGAGTTAAAAACTATGCCAGACGAGCTCGGATCATCTACCATGCCACCAAAGACGAGGACGGCGTGGCCCGTCCCCAGGCTACAGGCACCGTGGAACGACGTCCGGCTCGGGAATTGGCCACGTACTCGCAGCTTCTTCCAAAACTTCCGCCCGTAGTTCTTCTCCGAGCAAGTTGGCGACGAGGAGGATGGCGCTGCTGCTGCTACTGCCTCGGGATCCAGCACCCACACATCGCGTTTCTTCGTCCGCCGCGCGTCCTCGCCGCCGAAGATCAGGATCCTGTTGCCGAAGATGATCGAGGCCGAGTGACCGGCCCGGGGAGACGGCGCCTCGTCGGTTATGGTCCGTGAGAGCTCCGTCCAAGTTGGACGCTGGTCTTGGAGGTTGAGCAGCCAGACGTCGTTGAGGACCTCGAAGTGAGCGCCCCGGCCGCCAAAGAGGACCATCTGGTTGGTGGCGATCCTCGTGAGAGTGTGACCCGACCTCGCGCAGGGGGAAGCTTGCGTCGCCACCTCCCGCCAAGAGGGCGGCTCTTGGGATAGATCCAGCACCCATGTATCGTGGAGCCTCGCCCCGTCGTTACGGATGCCGCCGAAGACCACCACCTTCTTATCGCCGGCGTAGCAGCATGCGTGAGCTCCCCGGGCCAGCGGCGAGTGCGAGACGGGGAGGAGGTGCCAGGAGCTAGCGGCGGCGGCGGCGGCGGCGGCGGCGGTGGTGTCATTGATCCATGTGTCGAGGTAGCGGGTGCCGGTGTCGCTGATGCCGCCGAAGAGGACGAGGAGGCCAACGTCCTCGAGGTAGACGCAGCTGTGCCCGAATCGAGCCGGCGGGTTTTGGATGCGTGGGAGCTGCCAGTGGATGCCGGTGAGCAGGGTGTTGCTGGGAAGTGGCGCGATCCATGTGTCGCCTAGAGCTCTCCCTGCAAAATGCCAAAAGCAGCTTTCCTGAGGGTTACAAGCATCGAAGTTCATGCATTGAAACAACGCGAGAGACAAGAAGATCCAAGGAATGACTTAAACCACAGCGAAAGACCGTGAAAGTCTCATGGAAGTCTCAAAAGCATGAACGTGAGCTCTCAAACCATCAAAGATCATGCATTAAAACAATGCAAACACTTCAAGAGACGAGATCCAAGTCACAGTGAGACAAGAAGATTCGAGGAACGACTTATCCAGTGGAAGTCTCGGACAAAGACGTTAAAACAAACGAGAAGGACCCTTCGCCAGATGGAAAGAAAGTAGGGAGGGAGGTGGAAACCATATAGAAGTGTAGTATAGATACATACCTCCTTCGCATCCTCCTCCAAAGACGAAAACTTTGCCACCAGCGTTGATCATGGAGTGGGACGCGCGGCCAAGCGGTAGCGGGTCCGGCTGCTCCAAGTGATGCCACGCAACAGCGCCGCAAAAGAGCATCTCGGCGTAGAGTTGCTTCCAGCTGCGCTTGCGGAGCCTGGAATTGGGCCACGCATCCACCACCGCCTCGCCCCACTCGCGGCGGCAGATCCTGGCCCAGAGGCTGTCCGAGCTGACGAGATCGTAGAAGCGATGGCATGTCAATCCGAAGGCTACGATCCCAGAGACTGGTAAGAAGTGGAGAACGATGAGGAGTTGGTCTGATCCCAGTACCTTAATCCATTCCTCGCCCTGCTCCTCCTCAATCTCCATCTCGGTGGCTTCATTGGAGCTCATGTATTAGGACGAAGAAGATCTATCTCGCTCCCTTCTCTCACGAAGCAACAACAGTTAGATCTCGGGAAATATCATTCGAGAATACGAGAGAAGAGAGAATCAGGCGTGCCGGGATGGAGAAGAACGCTAGGATGAGGAAAGAATTGGAGAAGAGAAGCGTACAGCGAGATTTCAAACCTCTCTCCAGCTCGACGGAGGCACTGCATTGAATTTCGCCTGGCGCTCCGCGATGCCGCAGCGGGCGCGAGCGCCGCCGCGCTGGCTCCAAACCCTAGCGACAAGAATCGAAGACTCCAGAGCCTCGCAAAATGGTCTTGATTTTCAAATTTACCCGCCGCTAAAATACTAAACCCGGTTAATACTAACGTGGTAAAACTCTTAACCCCGAGATATGGACAGGTAAAAAATCGCTGCTAGACGATTTCACCCCAGCAGGGTAAATATTCACACTGACGGACGTGATTATTCGGTCGTTATCGACAAGATCTTTGCCACCTAGCGAGATCCCAATGGCAGTCGCAGCCCGCCAGCCACGTTGGTTACGTCTCCGCGAAGAACACTCTTGAGACTAAACTGATTAAACTGAAGTTTACAGCGCTCACGGGAAAGGGACGCGCTGGGAACGGGGCAGAGGTACGAAATATACGACGCTTCCGAAAAGCAAAAACGCTTTGATCGTCGCGTTCCTGAAGAGATCGAGAAGAAAAACGAGCTAAGCAAAGTTTGTTTTAGTGGGAATCTCCGCTTACCCGAGAGAAAAAAGAGAGATGATCTGTGGATGCTAAAGTTGTCATCGAGGCTCTGTAAGAGCAAAAACTAACTTAAGTTTATCGGCAAAACTTTTCTTACCTGGGAAACGAGCAAAATTGCCATCAAGCTCGAGAGAGGGAAAAAAAAAAACCATTTCTTACTGGAATCAATCGGCACTGTATCCGGGAGTGGGGCAAAAGCAGCACAGCGAGCGCCACGAGCGTCTCCTGTGATGCATATAATTCCTCTCGGGAGGGGCCATCTTAACCGGACTGCTGTTCCACTCACTTGACAAACTGTAAAGCACTACTGTTAGAAAGCTCCACCCTTTAAAAGCAAATGCACGAAAGTTTAGCCATGACTTACACCGGGAAAGCGAACGAGCGCGTACTGTTGGTGCTGCTGTCCGACCGCAAAGACAAGCTTCCAGAGTATGGCACTGTCCCCGAGTATGAGGAGGGATACGCAATGGGACCGGATAGTGCGATGAGGCCCGAGTAAGGGACGAGCAGTGACTCCGGCTTCGGTGGAGAATCTGGAGCTTTTGGAGGCTCGCTTTTCTGAGTGGCTGCTATCTCTGGACCATCTTCCTCTCTTAGCCTTTCCAAGTAATCCGCCGAGGAGCGAGAATTCTCCGGTGGTGGAAGCCCGTCATCTTTCGAGGCCTCCGAGTGTAGTGCTTCACTTGCTTGGTGATCCTCGGCCAAGAGCGAGCTCTCCTTCACATCGGCCTGTTTCTCGAGATCTCCATTTCCATCTACACTAGAGCTGTTTAAATGAACGTCGTCCACCACCTGTTCCCCGTTCCTCGCATCATCATAGTTCTTATCCACGTCTTGTGAGTTCTTCTCACCGGCGCCTCCCAGCTCATCTCCTTCTATGGCTTTGCTCAAGCTTGCGGCTGCTAAATCCTCGTCTCCCGAGTTGGATGTTGCTTCCTTGAATTTCTCTAACTGGAACTCGGAGTCCCTTGCCTCTGCCGCCAATTCACCACAGCCTGGTGCTTGGAGTGTTTTTGCTACGAGAATTCCGCCTTGAAGCTTACCACCATTTTCTTCCAAGTTCGCGGTGTCATCCTTGACTTCTTCCGAAACAGGATTTTCCATCCTTTTCACAGCAAACAGATCATCCTGAACATGTGCTCCGCCTGACTCATTTCTCCAAGAATCGATCGTAACGGGTTGAACCGAAACAGACACGTACTTGTCTTCGACACTGGGTACTATCACCACTTTAACTTCCTCCATAAGCTCTTCCTCATGCTCGCTGGTGTCGTTGGATGCTTGCTGTTCAGGAGCATTTCTGCGACTGGCTTCTGTACCGTCTAAATCATGGCCCTCCTTCTCAGAATAAGTCCACATTTCCGGCGCATAGAAACTCAAGTCCTTCTCGTTCTCGGAGCCGGAGCTTTTGCTTGATAGAACGACCGAGGAGTATATTGGCAGCTTGTCGAGATATTCCTCACCTCCATCCTGGATCTGGATCTCGGGCTTGAAGGCAGGGAAATCGTGAGCAGGAGCCGAACCTGCCTCCTCCATGCCTGATACAAAACAAAATCAGACAAAGAAGAAACAGAAAGTTGGTGCACACCTGTTTTCCCAGTGCCTGTACAACCTTCGGAGTTGTCTTCGGGCACAACCCTTGCCTCGTTTCTACCAGACTCTGAAGCTAAATCATCTGCACTCGATGAACCGGAACTATGCGACTCGGACACGGCAACCAGTAAGCTCATTTGGCTTGACGTCGAGAAGCTGTCATCGTCGGAATCGGAGGTGTAGAGCTCACTTCCACCACAACTCATACTACGCCTGCTGCTATGTCCCCTTGAAGAAACTCCCGACTTCTCCCGAAAGTCCCCGTCCGCAGCAACAAGCTTCGGTGCTTCATCGCTCGCTGCTTGAGCAATTCGAGGGGCTGGAGGAACAAGTACCCGCATCCTGTTGTTCTCTGCCTCGCCGGCACTAGATTTCTCCACTGTAGATGCGCTCTGCTTTACTGAATTTCGCCTGTCATACTGTTCACGCCCGTTGACAACGTCATTGTCGTCTCTCGGCGACGTTGATACAGGTAAAGGCTCGTCCATGCAGCGATCTAACTTATCCGGCCCATCACGTTGACAACGAGAGGGTGCCGGAAAGGTGAGACTCCTACTTCCTGTCCAAAGAAGCTGATTCTGACGCTGAGTATGTCTGGGCCTGCTTGAAAGCGGACTCCCTAACTCCCATCCGTATTCTAATCCATCTGTTAAACTGTCACCCAAGCCTAGCTGCCTCGTAAGATATGATATCTGGTTGAATAGCTCGAGCACTATATCAGACACTGCCTCGACTCCATACTTTTCAATGGCATCGCCCAATCTTCCAACGAACGGAGCATCTGGAAAACACCAGGGATAAAGCTTTCAGTGACACCAAAAAGGCCACCCAAAAGAAAAAAGCTTGAATGCTTAAAGAACCTTGAGAAGACAAGACCGAAATGGTCTCCAATACGAGCTGTGGATTCTCTTTCAGCCACGATAGCGAGGGTTGCTTGAGAAAGTACTGCAAAACAAGCAATTGGAGTATGCTTCTTGACAGACATAGAATATAAGAAGTTTGTACCTGAGCTTCCCTGTTGGAGCTATCATAGATCATCTCAACAAGAGCTCGTACTTCGGCATTCTGGAGCAAATCGCCAAATACCTCGTCCTGGGACAAAATGAAAAGGAGAAACTTGTCTAGAACAATGCATTGATGGCAAAAGCACAAATCACACCTTCCGCCGGCGAAATTCTTCCCGGAGCCGCTCCACATCCTCCGGCGCATCTGCGCGCCTTCCAGAAAATACTCTAAGCAAAAAAGCCATCGCGGAGATCAAAGATCAGCAAAGGATTTCCTCTCAATTCATCCCTACACCCCTCTCCCAGGCTTCCCGGCACCGAATTTCAGCAAGAAAGAGTCAAGAGAGAAGAGAGACGATTTCTTACTTCCAGGCGACGATGACGATCACCGCATCGCCGTGGCGCTGTGAGGCCCCATCCACATTGAATGCGCGCAGCGCAAGATCACAGAAAAGCAGAGGGAGAGAAACTTCGCGAACCGCGATAGCGCGGCTGAGCTAAGCGATCCACGGAAAAACCTAATGACAGGGAAATGCGCTGCCCACACGAAATTAAAAGAAAAACGGACCTCGAGCGAGCGAGCGAGTGGCCATTGCCGTTCGGGAATTTAAATGCCGTCTACACGACGTGCCATGATATATTCCGGCGCGGAATGTCCAACCGCCACGTGGATTAGGGCTTTTGGGCAAGAAGCCCTAATTTGAAAGATTCCTAGGGCGCGCGATGTCAGCAGTGGGCGGAGCGGCGGCAGCGCCTCAATCTCCCTCCCCTGCGCCTTCCAAAGGTGATCCTCAGCTCGATTCGCTTCTTTTCTTTGTTCTTGATCGAGCGCTCGCAGTGAAGGTCCAATTCGTTTCCACGGGAGGTGCGCCAGTGCTGATCCAGTCGGAATTCAAGGTAAGGTTTGGGCATTTTCCGGCGGAAGCGACGCAATCGGCTTTGATCCTCGCGCAGATTGACGCGACGGAGAAATTCGCGAAAGTTCTCAAGTTTCTGCGGAGGCAAGTTCAACAGGACAATGTGGTGAGCGATTTTTTCTTTTTTTCTCACTGCTCTTTGTGGATTGAATTGAGAGTGTCCTTTGCTACTTCTTTCCAGTTTCCATTCATCAATCAAGCATTTATTCCCAGCCAAGACGAGCCCGTGGGAGATCTCTATAAGGTAAAAGCCATCTCTTGGATTTCTTCCTGGACTTTAAGCTTGATCTTCTCACAGAACTTTGGCGTGCACGGGAAGCTCATCGTAAACTACGCTCCCACTCTGGCGTGGGGCTAATCGAGCTCGCTACCAGCTAGCGATAAAGCTCCCTTTTTTTTACTCTTATCTCTCCCTGTCCATCGGGCGAAATTTCTAATGGTGGGCCAGATAAATTATTTGACTCCAAGGTCAATTCCACAGAATCTACTACAGTGTTCCCTTATCCAGGAAGCGTATCTACTGTAGTAGGAAGTTTATCTTTAATCACCAGATAATCACTCCATGGTAAGTTAATCACTGTGCGGCCTATGATGCAAGGATGACATGGGCATGAGGTAAGAGCGCCAATGAGTAACGCACAAGAGAAGAGATTCGAACCTGAAACTGGGGCGGTGGAGATTCCAAATGCCCCACACTAGAACACTGGCGTGGGATGGGACAATCCACAATAACACTCGACACCGATTCTTCATGGTCGCCATTTGCTGCCGACAGGATCGAAAACTATGCGTTTCCGTACAAACGTGTATTTTCTATTGGCTATACGGTATCCCTCGTGGGACAAGGTGTTTGACATTCCAGCGTTTAACAAGGAGCTCGCGACTTGTCAAAGAAAAAGTTCAAAGAGAAAGGTGGCGAGGCGCTGTAGGGAGGTCGTCTTAGGTCAGACAAGAGGGTAAAGTCGAGCGAAGGCCGGGCGAAATACGACGCGCTGCGACCATTGGTAGGAATATGCTTATTTTATTCACGGGTATAATGTGCCAGGTTTGATTATTCAATTCAACGAGTGGGAGGAAAGCGACGCGAAGCGATGAAAAGAAAGTTTCGCTAAGATGATGAGAAACAAAGCGTGGAAGGACCTCTTATCAGCCCTTCCTATAAACGCGCAAGCCACACAGTTGCCCTCTTTGATTTCTCGTGTGTATCCATCACATTGTCCTCCAGAGACTCCGGGGAAAGGACTGAAAAAAGAGAGAGAGAGAGGAAGATTTGAGCTCCTGGGCGATGCCACTCACGTGATTCCTTCAAGATTCTCGAGGAATTCCCCTAGATTTTCGAGCGCGCGCGAGAGCAAGAGAGAGCAATGAGTATGCAATACTCGCGGAACGAGGCCGGTGGCGTGGGCGTGATTCCTCCGCGGCACCACCACGCGCAGCGATCGATTGGCGGTGGCGGTGGCGATGGGGGGAGTGGCGCCGCCGACCGGGTTTGTTCTCCAGTCTCTCCCCTAGATCAATCCATGGGCGGCGGCGGCCGCGGCGGGGGATCGTGGTCGAGCCAGAGCTCCGGCTCCTCCTCCTCCCCGCCCACCGCGGTGAGCTCCGCCGCCTCCAAGCCCTTGAAGCAGGAGGAGCTCGATTTCTACGCGAATCCCTCGCAGCGCCAGCAGGATTATAACAGTAGCTCGAGCAGCATCCAGCACGCGCTGCGCGAGATCGAGAGCCGGCTCCTGCTGGACGACGACGACGAGCTCGACTACAAATCCTCGCCGGATTCCTCCACCACCTCCACATTCATGCTCGATCTCCTGGGCGGAGGCGGAGGGGGAGCCGTGCTTGCGCCCAGCATCTCGCGGGATCTGGTGGAGCGGATGGGCGACCCGCGGCAGCTCCTCCTCCTGTGCGCGGAATCCATCGCCAACGGCGACTTCGCGCTGGCGGAGGTGGTGATCTCGCGCCTCAACCAGGTGGTGTGCATCTACGGCCAGCCCATGGAGCGGCTGGCGGCGTACATGGTGGAGGGGCTGGTGGCGCGAATCCAATCGTCGGGCACGGGGCTGTGCCGCGCGCTGCGGTGCAAGGAGCCGGTGGGCAACGAGATCCTCTCGGCAATGCAGGTGATGTACGAGGTGTGCCCGTACATCAAGTTCGGCTACATGGCGGCCAACGGCGCCATAGCCGAGGCGCTCAAGGACGAGCCACGCGTCCACATTATCGACTTTGAGATCGCGCAGGGGACGCAGTACATCGCGCTCATCCAGGCGCTGGCGCGGCGGCCGGGCGGGCCGCCGACCGTACGGATCACCGGGGTGGGAGACCCGGCGGCGGGCGTGGCGGCGCCGGGCGGGGTGGCGGCGGTGGGGCGGAGGCTGGCGGCGCTGGCCGCCGACCACGGCGTGCCCTTCGAGTTCCACGCCGTGCCCGTCAGCGGCGCCGGGGTGACGGACGCGGCGGCGCTGCAGCGGCGGCCCGGCGAGGCGCTGGCCGTCAACTTTGCCATGCAGCTGCACCACATGCCCGACGAGAGCGTCAGCGTTTCGAACCCCCGGGACCGGCTGCTGCGCATGGCCAAGTCGCTGGGCCCCAAGATCGTGACGCTTGTGGAGCAGGAGGCCAACACCAACACCGCGCCGTTCCTGGCGCGGTTCAAGGAGTCGCTCAGCTACTACGGCGCCGTGTTTGAGTCGCTGGACGTGACGCTGCCGCGGCAGAGCAAGGAGCGGATCAGCGTGGAGCAGCACTGCCTGGCGCGGGATCTGGTGAACCTCATCGCCTGCGAGGGGGCCGAGAGGATCGAGCGGCACGAGGTGATGGGGAAGTGGAGGGCCAGGATGAGCATGGCCGGGTTCAAGCAGTACCCGCTCAGCCGCTATGTCAACCAGACCATCAGCTGCTTGCTCAAGACGTATTGCGACAAGTATAAGCTGAGCGAGGAGGATGGTGTCATCTATTTGGGCTGGCTGGATCGATCGCTCGTGTCGGCATCGGCGTGGAATTGAGGGGAGAGGCTCCAAGAGGAGAGATGAGTCTCTGGGACTTTGGTGGTCAAGGGAGAAATGTGAGAGCGTGACTGGCGCGGCACCAACCCAGCACGACCGCGCAAGCTACTGGAGGATCGAGGAAAGGGACTGGGGAGGCTATGAAGCTCTTGCTTGACCGCTTGACTGGACTGGATCAGTTGACACATTTTTGCATTTATTTTCTAAACGTCAGCATGACACCAGGCTGATGAAAGCCTTTTATTACAACTCTTTAGTAAGCATATTTAAATAATCTATGAAACATGAGAGATGATCCCTTGGGTTAACGGTATTGTGTCCTAAATGGAAGGTGTTACTATTTACATCTTCATTGCAAACCATCTTCCAAAATAGGTTTTGGGTTTCCAGCCACCATCTCTTTCGAGCATATGTAACTATCAACAAGTTTCAAGACACGCAACGTCTTTTGTTGGAAGTCCTGCCATCCTTATCTGCATCTTAGTCATTGTTACCACGTATTGTTGTATCTCTGCATCCTTACACCATGACGTCTTATATATATATATATGAATTTCAATGTCCTTATTTCTGTTGCTCCACATTATTGCTATGCCTTCCCCTTGTGGCAATAGAAACAAACGTAACAATCGAAACTAATTCATGCAAATCACACGTGTTTTAAGATGGTCATATTTAAAACGCAGAAAAATTTAATATTCAGTATCTTTATATTCACAGGTTTGGATCATTTATATATTGATTCTACTAAACCTTTACTATTTTCAAAACATCATAAATTATCTTATAACAAAAATCTTTCTCTTCAATTATCTCTTATTCTAATTGTGTAGTGTAATTACATTGAGGAAAAGGTACTGGGGGGATCGTTGTACACTTGGAAAGAAACGCCAGCATGACACCAGGAACCTTTTTTCTATTAATGAGAAATTTTCCCTTTAACTGCTCAGCCTCAGTCGCATGATTAAGATAAAAGACCTTTTTTCGACCAAACATGCATATTGATAGAATATATACATACTTTTGGCAGCCATGAAGTCGAGAAGCTAGCGCATGTGGCTCTGGGAGGGATCTCCAAAGGCTGCCAACTATGGTCTATGGCCCCATTGCAAGATGATCTTGCTCTACAGCTGATGCAATGGTTCTGGCTGCTTCTTGACGAGATGCCAGCCAAAGATGGACCTTTGGGAGCTCCAACCCCAATGCGTCGATGGGAGTAAGGAAGTGGAAACCGCATCGCTACGTCGCCTTCTTATGAGAATAGCCGAGCAAATTGTTAAGAGTCGATGAACCACACTATGACCACTTTAGCTTTAAACTAATGTCACGTAGCTGATCCAACACTTTACAAACATAGGATGTTTGCGCTGAAGGTAGCATTCCAGGACTGAGCAATGAGCTGGTCGGGAATAGTGACAAGAACCTGAACTTTTGAGCTGGGCAAAGCCCTGCAGCAGCTGCAGCCCTATATGCTCAAACTTGGGGCACCTTATGTTGACTCATAGTGCAAGCAAGCAAGGCACCCATAGTCGGCAACAACCATGCCAATTTGAGCCTCCATGTTGCCTTCGTCACCTCCCCTCCCTTCTCCATGAACAAGACCTTGGTTCCAACTGAAAGCCAAAACTGGTAACACCTTCCAGCTGGAGCTTGGAGGGCATGATGTGTTAGAATGAACTAGAGCCACCTAATGTGATAAATAACCATCACTTGAAGAAAAAGGATTCCTAAACCATTAAAGAGTTAAGACAAATACATTTAGCATATCCCACTAGTTTCAAGGTTTAGAACAATTGAAATACCTCACCACCACCACTAACTGTTGGGATGACATTGTTGAGCTTGCATATCCCCACCTCCACACTAGCAGTAGATAGGATGGTCTGATGCTTTTTGTGAGTCCTCATGACTTCAAAAAGCTGTTGTTATTATTATTATTATTATTACTTATTACTTATTACTTATGCTGTACAACACACTCACATAAAATTGGTGGAACATTTCCAAAACAGTCTTCCCATCAATCTCTACAACTTGAGCTCCCTGTCAACTAGCTTACACTCGCAACTCACGAGCCCTTAGATGATTAGAGGAAAGTCTATAGATAAGATTTAATCTAGGGAATCACATACTAATCATGTGCTTGGGAACACCATTAGTCTAGTCTGTACTGGTTGGCAATGCAAGTTGACATTCTTCCAACAAGAAGGTGGTGAGCTCTTTATTGCACTAAGAATCTTTTCTGGCCATTTTAACTTTTCCCAATGCTCTACTATACTTAGGATCACTATTTTTTCACAGTTGGTCGCGAGCAACTCAAAGGTTCCCTCCTTAGAATACTATAAAGTTAGCCTGAGCTATAATCATCTCCAGATACCCTAGATTCTAAAAACCCACTTGGAGTACTACTATAAAACTTTGGAACACTGTGTTTGAAAGCTAAAAGAAATTCTGGAGTGGGATCCTTAGAACAATCTAGTTTGGCTGGAAGTTGATCTGAGGGAAGATGTCAATGAGTTGAACTGCTTCTCCTTTGTTCTTCTTGCAAACAAGGATTTGGACTGGGACATTGTTCTGCAGGACAATCTTCACTCCAAGGCACACATTAGCTCCCGAATGACCAGATGTCCACTTGTATGTTTCTTGCAAAAGCTCCTCCAATGTTTCATGCCATACCGCTACTGCCCAGACAAAAGTTGGCTTCCATTCGTGATTACCAAGTCTGGATGCCACCTGGCCGTCGCTTTGCTTTATTCTCCCATTGCATAGCACTGCACTTGTGGACCCTGCACAAGAAAATAAGAAGCGATATTGAAATCTTACAAAAGTCGTCATGGCTAGCTACCTCCAAGGGAGACAGGTCGTTGACCACTCTCACAGTCGACACCAAACCCGTCTAGAGCCCTCAGAATGTTGTTATTGAACCAGCATGCACCCTGCTCGTGATGGCCACACGGGTCTCTCAGGCTCGGAGCTGGGGCAAGGGGGGAAGCGACCTCACAAACTTCTCTTGCTGTTCAATGCCTTGCACACAAGAATGTCAGTGGATGTGCAACAACAATAAAAAAATGGTGTCAACTGATAGCCTAGGCTAAATCTTCCTCTGGCCAAAGGCTGTATTGAAATGGCTATGACCTAAAAAAAGTGCAGCGTTTTCGGCTATGGACGTCAAGAGCTATGCCGAATTTCTGGAAAGGTTTTGTCGTGAAGAAGTCGTTCGCCTTACCAGCAATCAAGGGCCAGTGTCGGTGGAATCGGGACTTCGACAGGAAGAGTTTATGCGGATTTACAACGAAACCGACGCACACAAGAGAAGTATGCTTTTCATGAAAGATCAGGGTGAGTTGCTTCTACAGTACGATTGCTCTGTCTTCCATGAGCAAGTCCGGATTTTCTGGTTCATTCAGCTCTGTAAAGCACTCACGAAAGTGGGCCTTCAGTTCGAGGGCAGAGAGAGGCTTGTCCAAATTGGCCCGGGCAGCTTGGTTGAGCTCAACGATCGGTTACAGCAAGTTGACTTTATTGTGCTCGAACGATCCTCACAGGAACCAACGTTCCAGAACGCCCGCGTCGCAATCGTTGGTCAAGTTGTCTACGCAAATGAGTGCATCGATAAAGTGGTGAACGACCTTGATGCTGTCACGTCTGCTGCAAATGGCGGTGCCAAGCTTGGGATAGTCATCTTTGTTCGGCCCACGGTGGAGGAGCCGCTCGTAGTGTGGATCAAGGAGAGAGGATTAGAAACTCAGCGAGTTGAAGTCTCCGACGGTGCAGTGCGGCTCGACTGGTTCAAACTCTTCGACGAGCCCGAGATTAGATCCCAGATTATTCCTCCTGGAATCTCCGAAATAAGCATGGCAGCGGCCGCGGACTTCATCCGTGGCATCTGATCGATCCATCGTTGCCAGAGGATTTTAGATTTTACATTCGCATAGCTTTCCATAGTTAATGTTCTTAATCTTGCCTGCCAGTCGAATGATCTCCAGAGTTTTGAAAAGCTCGTCATAGCCACGTTGTATGAGCTGCCACCACGTTTCTGGTTATGGCTAGCAGGGTGCTCACACAACTTTGAACGAGAAAAGGAAGGAAAACAAAAGCTTGCCTGGACTTGTTTCTTCTCTGCAGCACATTGTTCGCAGTATCGCTGACACCTCTTTTCTCGTCTTTGCAAGCCCACAATTCCAGCGTGCTGGCTATCACGTCGCCCATGGCGGACCGAAGTGCACCAGCCTGCCTGGAGAAATGAGCTTGCGTTGGCCTGGAGGTGTGAATCCCAATCTCGGTTTGTCCACGGAAAAGCGCTGGAGCTTTCAAACTCGTCGGGAGCTTAGCATACTCGGACGCAATATCTCCAGCAAGCCTTTCATCTTCGACTTCGCTACTTTGCATGGTTTTTCATGCGCATGGCGGTTTACTCTGTTACCTGGAGGAAAGCTCGGACATGATACTCGATGCACCGAAAGTTCCCAAGGTTGAGTGGCGCAATCTCCATATCATCCTCCAATGCGATACAGTTGCTCGACTCGAGAATCGACTCAGAGAGATGATATGAAAGATGCTGTAGACCCCCTGATGGTTATAGTCAGCCTGTCAACTTGTTTGTTCTGGATAGTGAGCTTGTAGAGGAACTTCATGTAGTACGGCATGGCATACTCTTCTTGGGCTCCAAATCCTTCTCAGTGCACGGCAAAAAGCTGTTTCCCGCAGGCAAGCGTGGAGGGCGAGGTCGGGAGCAGTAGAGCGTATTGCCGAGAAGGTTAAGTTCCCTGAATGTTCAGCTCGAGTGGATCCCCCTCTCTTACGTGGCACTCCACGTCACGCCTGTTTAACGACTAAATATAAATTAGTAATGTTATTAACTGGTGTGTTAACGACTATAATTTCGATATAATTTATAAGTGTGGCTTGGTTTAGGTTTTTCCTCATTGTGTTTTATTCTTATATTTTTCTTTCTTATTTTTATCATTCTCTTTAGTATTATGTCTAGATTGGAATATATAAATCATGCTATTCTTACTTTTTCTGATTTTATTGTAATATACTAGAACAGTGATGAAGTGGCATGCCTATGTCGGCAATGAGATGGCATGCAAATCCAAATAAGCAAATGAAGCCCACCCAAGCCGTTAAAACATAAGACCCATCGCCATCGCCACCGGCAAGCCGCCACTGGGCTCTTCGATCATCGACACCAACCTCCAAGAGCCGGCGTTCTTTTGGAGCATGAGGCAAACTTCCCACAAATAATCTTTCCGCTTACTGTCGCAACAAGAACGTTATCGCCTGTGTTGGAAGACCTGAATTGAAG